GGTTGTGTGGAAGCTTTTTAGTTTGCTGTAGTCTCACTTGTTTATTTTTTATTTTGTTGCTTGTGCTTTAGGTATCATATCCAAAAATTCATTACCAAGGCCCATGTCAAGGAGCTTTATTCCTGTGTTTTCTTCTAGGAGTTTTCATGGCTTCACATCTTATATTTAAGTCTTAAATCCATTTTGAGTCAATTTTTGTGAGTGGTGTAAGATATGGGTCCAGTTTCATTCTTATACATGTGAATATCCAGTTATCCCAGCACCATTATTGAAAAGACTATCTTTTCTCCGCTGAGTATTCTTGGTTCCCTTGTCAAATATTAGTTGACTGTATAAGAATTTCTTCAAAAAGTACTATTGTCTTAGTCTGTTTGGGCTGCTATAACAAAATACCAAAGACTGGGTAGATGATAAACAACAGAAATTTATTTCTCATGGTTCTGGATGATAGGAAGTCCAAGACAAGACACCAGCATGTTCAGTGTCTGCTAAGGGCTCACTCCCTGGTTCACAGAAGGCATCTTTTGCTGTGTCTTCACTTGGTGGAAGGGACAAGGTAGGTTTCTAGGGTCTTTCATGAGGGCTCTGCCATTATGACCTAATCACCTCCCAAAAGACCCACCTCCTAATACCATCACCTTGGAGGTTAGAATTTCATCATGTGAATTTTGAAGGACACAAATATTCAATTCATAACAATTAACATAATGGAATAGATCAATAAATTTTATTAAAATAAAAAGAACTTTTATTCATTAAAAATACCATTAAAAGAGAAAAAAAAGCAAGCTACAAAACTAGGAGAGGAGTCGATACAGATGTAGAGATAGAGATAGAGACATAGATACAGATATGATGAAGCACCTTTAGCCAGATTACATAAAATCCAGATTATATAAAAAGCACCTCTACACATCAATAGGAAAAGATAGGTAACCCAAAAATGGAACACAAAAAAGGCACATCCTACAAAAAAACTATCTAAATGGCATGAAAGTCATGAAAAAATGTTCAACCTCAGGAAATTTCTAATTTAAAACACAGTAAAATACACACAGTTTAGAATTTAGTTATCTGTTGGCATTTGAGGATAGGCAGTGGGGTGGGCTAGGGAAGGCACACACAGGAAGGTGTACGTTGTTCATAATATCTAACACTTGGATTACGTTTTAGCTTACAAGTATGTATTTATTAAACTAATTAATTAATACTGAAGTACATCACACATGGAACAATGATGATAATGATCCTCCATATAGCAATCATGATTGCTTCAATTCAATTCAACTGAGGCCCTACAAACAAAACAAAAGAAACCATGGAATGCATATAAAGTGTTTATAATAATGTAGGACATATACTAAGCGTTTAATCAATGGAATCCATTGTCATTAGATTAAAAGATAGATGTCAGACAGGAAATCCAGCAACCATAAAAACCAGAGGAATCCATTCTGAAAAGCCCTATCCTAAGTGGGCCCCCACACTTGACCAATGCAGTGGAAAACTTACTTGTATCTTTGGGGAGAATTTTTAACAGAGGAAGCAACCTAGAAGGCTCATGGGAGCTCATTACTTAGGACAGCGAGAGAGAACACAGCATCTTCTGGGTATCAAGGGGCTTTTCTTTCTCCTTCCCAAGCCACAAAATTTGGATTTGAAAGAGCCTTTTTCCAGGACTTGACCGAATTCACACTGAGCTGAAGGACAGCTCTGGATCTCAGGGAGAGAGCAAGTTAACCTTCGGGATGGTCCCAAAGTCACATATTTCTATTGTATTTACCCTCGGTCCTTGCTGCTAACTGAGCCCCTGCCAACAACTTAACAATGTGAATCTTCGCTTTGCTTCAGCATTCAAAATAACCTCAGCTTTGCGACCCAGGCAGCAATTCTAAGGAATAAATGAGGGACAGACTATTTTTCAAAGCAACATACCTGCTCTGACCTACAGAAATCTAAGACTATTGGAATAGGAATAGTGTTCGGAGGGGTCATAGCTGGGTAGAGGATTCATAGGACCCAGAAGCGGGGAAACGATGGGAAGATTTCCCTACTCTCCAGGTAAGTGAGTCTCTTTCATTATCTTTCTTTCTTGCTTTATGTTTCCCATCTTTGTGATACGCAGGATAAAAATAAGAATAACTAGCATTTCTTAAGAACTTCCTATGCACCAGACACTACGCTAAGCTTTATGTGCATTAGCTATTTTAATTCTCACATCAACTGTATGAGGCAGGAAGTAGTTATCTGTATTTCACAGATGAAGACAATGATTAAATAGGTGAAATTACTTGGTTACTGCAACACAGCTGGTAATTGGTGGGGCCAGAGGTTGAAAATCCAGCTCTATCTAATAAAAGTTTGTGCTTTAACAAGTTTTCTATGCAAGGCAATGGATAGTGCTAAAACCAGGTTATCTAGAAAGATTCATAAACCAGTTAATCTATTTCCTTTCTCCCTCTATCCCTCCCTCCTACAAAGTTGACTGAGTCCTAATGTATTTGCTAGGCTCAGGATCAAGTGATGGGGATCCATACAAATAGGAATGGTTTCTGCATTTAAGTAGCACACATTCTATAGGGGGAGACACACAAGTAGTCTAAAAGACAAAGATTTTAAATATTATAGAAATAAACAGAGGATACCTAAAGGGTCATGAAATGCCTCTACTGCAGACTTTTCAAACCCACCTTTTTCAGGAAAAATCTGCTGACAAATTTTTTCAGTGATTCAGTATTTAGTTAAGGCATTGGAATTTAGCATTTGGTGAAGCCTAAGGCCCCATCAATAGGTTTTGCCTTTTTACTTATTCAACTACATGTTAAAAGGTACTATTGCCTTCCAGAATGTAGAATAATTCATGCTTAGTCCCAGCACCATATGGCAGGTGACAGTAGGGGGAGGGAAGGTGAGACAAAGGATCCTACTGAGTCCCAGACTCTGGCAGGAGAAATGGCAGAGTTTGAATATTCCTGTCCACAATCTGAACCATTTTCTAAGACTGTGCCCATCCTATACCAGAAATTACCAATTGATTATAAAGCCAATGGGTCTTCCTAGGGCATAGATATCAGGACTCCATAACTTATTAAAGTGTATTGGTGTCTATTATAGTTAATTAAATTTTGTTTGGCTTAATTAAAGTAGCAATTCCTATCCCAGAGACCCTAAAACAGTAAAGAGGATCCCAAAGCTATTATCAATATTTTTTAAAGGCCAATAGAAATTATATATTTATATATGGTATAATGTAGTACAGGCTAAGAGACTATATCAAGGTTGAATCTGTGTTCCACCAATGACCACCTACATGACTGTGGATAAAGTTATTAGCTATCAGTTTCTTAGTCTCACTACCCACATTCCAAGTGCTCGGTAGCCACAGTGAGCTACCATACGGTAACAAGCAGACCTAGCAGGCACTCAACCAAGCACTGTAAGGAGAGATGGGAACAAAACTTGGCTCCAGCAGACCAGGAATTGGTTAATAGCAGGAAACTACTGGTAATTTTGTTATATGTGATCATGTCTTTGTGTTTATGTAAGAAGATTCCTTATTTTTAGAGACACAGACACCAGAGCAAGTAGAAGTTGAAATGACATGGTGAGTGGGATTTGTATTAAGATACTTTGGCAAGAAAAAAAGAAATGAAAAAGAGAGATTGATGAAGCAAACATAGTAAAACTTTAATCATTTTTTAATCTAAATGATAATTATATGAGAATTTATAATATAATTATCTGCATTTTGTATATGTTTGAAATTTTTCATGATAAAATATTTTAAGTACTGGGAATCTAGTTGGAAAATAAAAAGACGTAATTCAATGAGCACTTACTATATACTGGTCTAAGTTTGGTACTTAAAACAATTGTCAAAAGAAGTCAGTAGCATTTCCATTTGAAGAATGAAGAAACTGAGGCTCAAAAGCTTAAATGACTTGCCAAAGCCTTGGACACAAGGGTTTGTGCAACAAAAGAAAACAAAATAAGAAAAGACTTGCAAAACTAATGGAAGCAGTATTTGTACTCAGGCAATACAAAAATAAAGAACATACACCTTGTCCCCACTTTTGCACGTCTTTTGGTTCAAAAGAATACAAAGGTAACGAAACAAAGAAACCACATTCAATGACAGTGATTCATTGTATTGAAAAGATCATCCCAAATTTTAAGTTATATTGTTAAAGCTGGAGGAAAACTTGGTGTTCATGTAGAGTCCAACCCAATGGCCAAAGAAACTGCATCTCTATCACGGTAGGCAACTTGCCCCAGGTCTCACAGCTGGTCATTGTCAGAGGCAGACTAAACCTAGCTGAGAGTTATTTTCTCCCCATGTCCTACAACTACTAATGTTAACTAGGATCTGAAATCATGAGCATCTTACAAATGGTAGTTCCTTTTTGTAAAGCGGCTATGCATGTCCTAACTTTTAGACATATAAGGAGTGACAAAGAATGCAGTCCTGGTATAACCTAAAATTGACAAAACCAATCAGGCTGTTGGTAATTTGGGAGGCCAAAGAGTCACATAAAAGGCTAGTTATATCCCAGGTCTGACTCAAAGTTGTACATTTTAAGACTTACATACTTATGATCACAAATGTGTGTGTGTTTGTGTGTGGTTACTTAGATCCCATACATCAACTGGAAAATAGGCAGAAAGCATCCTGGAGTAAATAGAGTGGAGGTTATCACTTGAAGCCTCAATTTAATGAGAGACTTAATTCAAATTCTGGAGCAACATTGCTTCAGACAACTGATGCTGAACTGGAGAGCCTAGACTGCATTCCTAAATCTGTTTAAAGCCTATCAAACTGTAATTTTTCCTTTATCTCTCTCTCTCTACCACTCTCTCCCTCTCTTTCTCTTTCTCCCTACCCCTCCCCTCTTTTTCAATCTCTGGTAATCTTATGAAACAGACTTTACTCAAACAAATACCCTAAGTGAGAAATTTTGTGAATAATTGTTTAAAATAATACTAATAGTGTGATAGTACCATGTGCCCAAATCTAATTGGCCTTTATATGTTTTTCCTATAGGTAAAGTCAGACAGTGTTTTCCTCTTGTGAACTGCCCAGATTCCATGGAAAATAATGTTACTGAATTTATCCTCACGGGTCTTTCCCAAAATGAGCAAGTGCAGCAACTATGCTTCTTTTTGTTCTTACTCTTTTATATGATCCTCATGACTGGAAATTTTTTCACTATAATGACTATCCAAAGGAGCCCAAATCTCAACTCTCCAATGTACTTCTTTCTTAGCTTCCTATCCTTTGTTGACATCTACTATTCCTCTGTTACAGCCCCCAAGCTGATTATTGACTTCCAAGCCCAGGTCAAAAGGATCTCTTTTGTTGGTTGTATGGTCCAGCTCTTTTGTGTTCATCTGTTTGGCTGCACAGAGATCTTTATCCTCACAGTGATGGCCTATGACAGGTACGTGGCCATCTGTAAGCCTCTGTGCTATACGACCATCATGGACTGGAAGGTCTGCTCCATACTGGTGGTGACCTGTTGGTTAGGAGGGTTTGTGCATTCCTTCATCCAGACCATCCTCACTGTACAACTGCCTTTCTGTGGCCCCAACCTGATTGACCACTACTTCTGTGACATCCACCCTCTACTGAAGCTGGCTTGCACAGACATGTATGTGGTGGGGCTCATTGTGGTGGCCAACAGTGGCGTGATTTCACTAAGCTGCTTTGTCATTCTTGTGGGCTCTTACACTGTCATCTTGCTTTCCTTCAAGACCCGCTCATCAGAGGGGAGGCGCAAGGCCCTGTCCACATGTGCTTCCCACGTCGCTGTGGTGATCTTGTTTTTTGTTCCCTGCCTCTTCGTCTACCTAAGGCCTTCCACCACTTTTGCTGAGGACAAAATGGTGGCTGTGTTTTACACTATCATCACACCCATGTTGAACCCTCTGATCTATACGCTGAGAAACATGGAGGTGAAAAATGCCATGAAGAGACTGTGGATTGAGAGGTGGTTGGGTAGAAACAGGAGAGACCCTGATGTGAAGCTCAATGGGATTGGTACAGCCTCATTTGTACCAGTTTCCAAAGGAGGTGCTGGGAATAAGTCAGGTATCATACCTTAAATCCTATCACACAAAGAAATACTATAATAAAGCAGAGAGTCTGGGATTTGAAGTCTAAATACCCAGTCTGGAGGGCCTATTCTACCAATTACTAGTAGTTTGAATTTAGGCAAAAAGATAGTCCCTTACAGGTGCCCTGAGTGGATTAAATGGTTGTACAGAGAAATCTGATGCCAAAACACAGTCTGTTTCCTAACATATAGTACTGTTGTCTCTGAGCAATAACGTCTCAGTGATGTGGTACGTCAGGCATACATATCCTAATAAAGGAATGACACCAAAAACAAATGCCAAAGTGGATTTCACTATCCTTTGCCTCGCCTATTTCCTCATTTTAAAATGAGGTTAAAGCTACTTTTCCTATCATTTCCTAGGGTTATATAGAGAATCAAATGAGATAGAAGGGGAGGTGAAAGCATTTAGTAATAGTAAGGAGCTGCATTTATGGAAGTTATTGTTGTTACCATTAACCTGGCAACTCCAGACTTCCAGACAACTCTCATTTAAAGAATTTGGTTTGAGGTTTAGGGTTTCTCTCACATAATTCTCTTTAAAAAGTTCTTAGATGGGAATTGTTTCTGTTGATATTACAGCAGAAGCTACCCTGGACTCAGAATTAAAGACAACATGCTCCCTATAGGAATATCTGATACAAGGAAAGGATTTGTAGTGGATGTTGTAAGCAACCCAGATCCCTCTTCAGGATAAAGCTGCTCATTCCCTCAGCTGCCAGGAGTGATGGCTGCTCAGAGCTCACAGTTGCTGCTTCCAAAGAAATTGGCCTTCCCCCAGGGAGGCACCAATATCACATCTTCCTCCTCCAGCAGGCTGCAGCCAATGACTGGTCAATTTGGTGGTAAAAAGGCCGGGGCCTCTTGCCTCAGCTTGGAACAACTCTAAAGGGCCATCCAGCTCTAAAGCTCCCTCTGGGACCATCCAAGACCTTTTTTGTTTCTGCATCATAGTTCAACTTCTCCCTCTGCCCAATTCCGCTTCCTTCACGCCTTTATAGGTGTTGATCTTAAGGGCACTTCCCAATAAGCTTTTACACACTAACTCAATCTCAGGGGTGTTTCCTAGGGAACTCAACCTTTGACACAGGTCTCTAATCAAAGAGGAGAAAATATATGCAAATATTAAAATAATTGAAATCCCTTTTGCATGACTCAGAGAGAAGAGAGTTCTAACTTTTGAGCAGGCTTGCCAAACTTGTTTAACAACAATATGAATAAATCAAAGTGTGTATTTTCAATCTTGAACTACAGGTGTGACAAAGCATTTGATTTGTATCTGGCTGCCTGACACCTTCATAACCTCCCATGACTGAAACCCAAGAAATCGGAACCGTTCTAAGTAAATGTTTTTGTTTTTGTTTTCGTTTCTTTTTCTCTCCTGGTAAGTAAAGAAGTTGACCCTGCTTTCTCTCAAGCGCTAGATGGGGACTTAAAAAATTTCGAGCAAGGTGCTCCAAAGCACAGGGCTTCCTGAGGCACAGGGCCTGGAGTAGGGGCCCGACATACCTATGTCTAAGGGCAGTGTAGGCTATGAATATCTGTTTAGGCCTATTAACTGGCTTCAGAAGCCGGGACTGGAGCAAAATTGTTTTATGCTGATTGCTTCTAGCCTCCCTTTTTTCCCACTACCTTATATCAAGAACAGGGTAGTAGCTAATACTTTAGAGTTCAGATGGGATAACGATTGAATTGACAGCATCCCATGGAACTATGATTAAACCACCTATGCAGCAGACATAAACTTTTTATACAAAATGAGGACAAGGGTAGATACTGAGAGGCATCAGGAGTGACTTTTCTGAACATTCTCTGTTTGCACACCAGCTCCACTTCCACTGTTATTCAGCTTATTGTATGTCCTGTAAGGTGACCTTCATGGACTGCTTCAATGGGTCCCTCTGCACTATGGTTTCTGGTTAAGTTTAGCCAATGTGGTGGGCACCAGCATGGGATCACCACGAGAGGAGAGTGAGTCTGGTGTATTTATTCTCCTGCAACCTTCCCTATAGGCCTGTGGGTTGGCAGTGACTGCATTGCTCTAAAGTCCACAGTTCCTGTCAATCAACCCTCTCCTACAGCTGCAACTCTCTCTCCTTCCTTTCTCCTTCGGCCTAGAAGTGATAAAGAATCCCAGCTATTGCTAGCCCTGGGTCCTTCACCATTCCTTGCTGGCTTCCATTTAGTCTACTACACTAGTCTATCTATTAAGTTATCCCCAATTACCTCATCTAAGTGTGTACTGTTTCCTCTCAGATCCTTGACTAATGCAATCCTCATGGTTGCCTCATGATTGTAAGATCCTACTCCACTTCCAGAATCACATCAGCATTTCACATAGAAAGAGGAAGGAAGTGATGAGCAGGAAATATCGGTATCTGAATCAAGAAAGGAAACTTGCTCAGAAGGACCCACCAGACTTGTCTTTACATCTCATTGCCCATAATTATGTGACATGATGATGACCAGAATAATTTGTTTTCTACTGTTGCTATTGTGTGGAGTGTTTTAAAGATACCAATGTGATTCACTTAGTTGATAGTACTATCTAGTCTTCTATGTCCTTCATGACTTTTTGTCTAGTTGTACTATCCATCATTGAGAGTAGGGCTTTGAAGTCTCCAGATTTGTTGTTGAATTTGTCTATTTCTTCCTTCGATTCTGTCAGTTTTGCTTCATGTATTTGGAGCTCTGTTTTTAGGTGCATATATGTTTATTACTGATGTTTATAATTGTTAGATCTTCCTGATGAATTTTGTCCTTTTGTCATTATAAAATATCTTTCTCTGTCTATACTAATACTTTTTGTTTCTAGTAAGACTAGTTAAGTCTAGTAAGACTTTCTTTAAAATTTATTTTGTCTGAAATTAATATAGCCACTCTGTCTCTCTTATGGTTGTTGTTTGCATGGTATATCTTTTCCATCGTTTTACTTTCAACTTACTGTGTTTTTAAATCTTAAGCGTATCTTTGGTAGAAAGCATACAGTTGGATCTTGTTTTTTTGATCTAGTCTGAGAATTTCTGCCTCTGATTGGAATGTTTAATCCATTTATATTTAGTGTTAGCTAAATATTGATATGGTTGGCTTTATGTCTGCTATTTTTCTATGTCTTCGATATGTTTCATATCCTTTTTTTTCTGTTACCCCTTTATCACCTTCTTTTGTGTGAAATATATATTTACTAGTGTACCACTTAATCCCTTGGTTGATTTTTTTAATGTTTTTGAGGTTTTTAAATTTAGTCATTGCTCTAAGAATTATAATATGTTTCTTAATTTATCATAATCTACTTCAGATTAATACTAAGTTAATTCCAGAAAATATAGAAGCTTTGCTACAATATAGCTTCATTCCCTCCTGCCTCTTTTGTGCTATTAATGTCATATATATTATTATATACAAATCCAATAATATGGCATTGTAATTATTCCTTCATGCAATTTTATATCTTCTAAAGAATAACTTTAGAGGATATCTTTTCTAAAATAAAGAGAAGTAAAGGGCAAAAATATATTTTTAGAATCTTCTATCTTAACTTACATATTTACCATTTCCTCTATGGATTCAAGCTACCTTGAATTTCTTCCTATGGATTCAAGCTACCATCTGGTATCATTTTCTTGCTCTAATATAGGTGCATTTCCTTCCCCTTTTCTTTGTGCTATTATTATAAAATATATCGTATCTTTATAAGCTATAAGCCCAACAATGCAACTTTATAATTTTTAATTTGTGTAATTGTCTTTTAAGTAAGTTAAGAGAAAAATATATATTCACATTATCTTTTATGATTTCCTACATAATTACTTTTACAGATAATCCTGAGTTTTTTCATGTGGATTTGAGTTACCATATCATATCAGTTCCTAAAGAACTTCCTCTAATATTTCCTGTAAACCAGGTCTACTACAAATAAAATTCTCTCATTTTAGCTGGGAATGTCTTTATTTTGTCTTCATTTTTAAGGATAGGTGTTTCTGGATGTAGAATTCTTGGCTTATTTTTTTTTTTTCAGCATTTCAAATATGTAATCCCTCTGCCCTTTGGCCTACATGGTTTCTGATGAGAAGTCATTTAGCTAGACTAACCAAGAAAAAAAGAGGACTCAAATAAAATCAGAAATGAAAGAGAAGACATTACAACTAATACCACACAAATACAAAGGATCATAAGAAACTGCTATGAACAATTATATGCTGACAAATTGGACAATCTATAAGAAATGGATAAATCTCTAGAAATGTACAACCTACCAAGACTGAATCCTAGAGAAATAGAAAATCTAAACAGATCAATTAATAGTAAGGAGATTGAATCAGTAAACAAAGACTTCCCAACAAGAAACAACCCAAGTATCCATCCATGGTTGAATGGATAAAGAAGATGTAATATACAATGGACTATTATTTAGTCGTGAGAAAGAAGGGAATCCTGCCATCTGTGACAACATGGGTGGACCTTGAGGGTATTATGCTAAGTGAGATAAGTCAGACAGAAAAAGACAAATGCTACATGGTATCACTTATATGTGGGTTCTTAAAAAAAAAAAAAAAAAAAAGTCAAGCTCATAGAAGCAAAGAATAGAAAGTGGTTGCCAGGGCTGGGGTTTGGAGGAATTAGGGAGAGGTTGGTAAAAGGGTACAAACTTTCAGCTATAATATGAATAAGGTCTGAATATCCAATGTATAACATGGTGACTATAGCTGATAACACTGTATGTATAATTGAAATTTACTGAGAGAGGAGGACTCAAATGTTCTCACCAAAAAAAAAAGATCAGGATGTGAGGTTGTGAGGTGATGAATATGTCTATTAACTAGATGGGAGAATCCTTTTACCATGTATTTGTGTATCAAATCACCATGACGTACATTTTTTGTTTATGATTTTATTTATTTATTTATTTTCCCCCCAAAGCCCCAGTAGACAGTTGTATGTCATAGCTGCACACCCTTCTAGTTGCTGTATGTGGGGCGTGGCCTCAGCATGGCCGGAGAAGCGGTGCGTCGGTGCGCGCCCGGAATCCAAACCTGGGCCACCAGCAGCGGAGTGCGCGCACTTAACCGCTAAGCCACAGGGCCGGCCCCGTGACGTACATTTTAAATATCTTACAATTTTATTTGTCAGTTATACCTCAATGAAACTGAAATAAAAAAATTAAAAAAGAATGGTGCTATGGGCTGCATTGTGTCCCTCAAAAATTTATGTGTTGGAGCCC